ACACCTATGGGATTCTCTATTCCCACTGAACGCTATATTGCCTTGCAATTCTTGCCAAAGCACAAGGGCATGCACTCGGCTGTCAACTACACTGGACAGTTCCAAGTGGTGTACCGGGTTCAACTCAAAAGCTTTCACATTGACCACCCTCACAGCCAATATGTCAACAAGCTGATGCAATACCAGCGCGCGTTTGTGTTGCTGCCAAACATCACGCCTCATGTGACCTTGGTGAGCCTTGATGACAAGCACTGCATCCCAGTTGGGGAGCCGGGCGCCCCTGTTGACACCAGCACGGGTTCCCGCAGGGCGGTCCCCTAGCTCGCGTCATCCCGGGTCGTGGCGTGTGACCATGATTTCACCATTGCAAAGCTCACCCCTTCCGTCATGCTGGTGACCACGTTGCCAGATTCTTTGAACGGCAGCTGGTACCAAGGCCATGTGACCGTGCTTCTCAAAGATGCAGTGATCCAGGCTAGCAACCCTTTTAGGCATGCGGCTGAGCTTGCTGATTTGCTGCGGGCGCGGGCGGGATCGGGGTCCATCCCACCCGTTCTGTGCCTGCAGCATGATGGCGGGCCAGACCACAATGTTACGTTTGCCTCTGTGATCTTGGCCAACCTGTGCCTGGCTGTATCTCTTGATCTGGACATCCTTTGTGCTATGCGCACCTGCCCTAAAAACAGCTTCCGCAACCCTGTGGAGCGCTGCATGAGCGGTTTGAACTACGCTTTGCAGTCCACTGCCACCGCCCGCGGCAGAATGCCTTCAGAGATGGAGGAACTGCTGGGAGGGGCAAACAGCATGGAGGGTGTGCGCAAAGCAATTGATGCGCACCCTGACCTGTTGGATGCATGGCGCGACAGCATGGCCCCCGTCACGGCTGTTTGGGCGGCCGCTTTGCACGAGTCACCTGGGCCGGCAATCTGGTTTCTGTACGCGAGCCCGCCAGCGAGGCCGCAATTGCGGAGCTGCGCGGTTCGCTGGGCGACAATGTGAGTGTCCCTCTTGACGGCAAAGTTTCCAAACCACAGCTGCTTTCCAAGACAGAAGATAACAAGGTCCTCTCTGACATCATCACATACCACTGCGACCTGAGCTCATACGCGTTCCAATTCAAAAAAGTGGAAGGCTGCAGTTGTGCGGCTTGCACTTCTGGTTTGATCAAGCCCATTCGCATGCCGCTGGCGGATTTCCAGCTCACACATTTCCTGCCTCTGCCTGTGCTGGATGAGACGGGCACCAAATACAAGCCCTTTGAGGAGGTTTGGGGTACAGCCCCCACCGAGACTGACCTGCCTGTGTTTGGGCCCACCCACAAAGAGAAGGTCCCTTGCGGCAAGAGCGCAGCCAACGTGCGTGGCTTTATCACATGTGTGGACTGCCTCAAGCCTCGCGTGTTGTGGGCCGCAAAGGCGCTCACGCCCGCGCACGTGGCTGCTTTGCAGCTGGTCCGCGAGCGCTTTGATTACCGCTGCGGGGGCCCGCTCTTGCCCAACGCGCCCGTGTCCTCTGCACCTGGTGATGGTGGCGCGCCTGAGCCCGCTGGGCCCAGTGGCAGCGCAGGTGCAGGCGCCGCAGGGGCGAGCGGTGACACTGAGCACGCGCCGCCAAGCACAGGGGCTGCCCTTGACAGCGACCCGCCGTCTGTGCACCAGCTGCTGCAAAATGTGCACGTGCTGCGTCAGATCAATTGCGGGAGCTTTGTTGAGCACCAGTACTATTCCGCCCGCGCCAAACACGTTGACGTGTGTGTGATTTGTGGCCAGCAAGATGACCTGCAGACTGCCCCTGCTGACATCGCAAACCAGTATGGTTCTGTGCACCCTCTTTGCCAAGCATGCGTTTCTGGTGGTGCTAAATTCACAATGAAGGGCGTGGCCCACCGCAAGCGCCACTCGAAGGAGCAGGGGCGCAAGAAGCGCGCTGCTGCCGACCACACTGTTGGTGGCAGCGGGGGCAGCGGTGACGAGAGCACCGATGATGGTTGGGCATCAAGCGATGAGGCCGCACCCAAACGCACCAAGCGTCAGCATGGCGCCCGAGGCGGCGGG